CTGAGGGAAATCTCCCTCCATTTTTAGGTTGTCAGGATGCTTTACCATCGGGGCGCGTTCGCCTGGTCGTACTGGAGTCCTCTCTCTTTGAGGGAAATCTCCCTCCATCTTAAGGTTGTCGGGATGTCTTACAATTGGCGCTCTTTCCCCTGGTTTCACTGGTTCATATTCTCTTTGCGTAAAATCACCTTCCATTTTCAGATTGTCCGGATGTTTAACCATAGGTGCTCGTTCTCCTGGACGGACAGGCGTTCTCTCTCTTTGTGTGAAATCACCCTCCATCTTCAGGTTGTCAGGGTGCTTTACCATCGGGGCGCGTTCGCCTGGCCGTACTGGAGTCATCTCTCTCTGGGGGAAATCTCCCTCCATCTTAAGGTTGTCGGGGTGTCTTACAATTGGCGCTCTTTCCCCTGGTTTCACTGGTTCATATTCTCTTTGCGTGAAATCACCTTCCATCTTCAGGTTGTCGGGATGCTTGACCATGGGGGCGCGCTCACCAGGACGAACTGGTGTTCTCTCTCTTTGTGGGAAATCACCCTCCATTTTGAGGTTGTCCGGGTGCTTGACCATAGGAGCACGCTCGCCGGGTCGTACAGGCTCATATTCTCGTTGCGGGAAGGCACCTTCCATCTTAAGATTGTCAGGGTGCTTAACGATGGGTGCACGTTCCCCTGGCCTGACTGGCTCACGTTGTCTCTGGGGGAAATCTCCTTCCATTTTCAAATTATCCGGATGTTTTACCATTGGAGCCCGTTCTCCTGGTCGAACCGGAGTCCTCTCCCTCTGAGTGAAATCTCCCTCCATCTTCAAGTTGTCCGGGTGTTTGACCATGGGAGCACGCTCGCCGTTTCGTACAGGCTCATATTCTCGCTGCGAAAAGTCCCCTTCCATTTTCAGATTGTCGGGGTGACGAACAATAGGGGCCCTTTCTCCAGGACGCACAGGTGCCCTTTCTCGTTGAGGAAAATCTCCCTCCATTTTCAGATTGTCTGGGTGCTTGACCATAGGAGCACGCTCGCCAGGGCGAACTGGAGTTTTCTCTCTTTGAGGGAAATCTCCCTCCATTTTCAGATTGTCCGGGTGCTTGACAATAGGGGCGCGTTCTCCAGGACGCACCGGTTCACGTTCTCTTTGAGTGAAGTCTCCCTCCATTTTTAGATTGTCTGGGTGCTTGACGATTGGAGCTCTCTCACCCGGACGCACTGGCTCCTGTGTCGGCCTCTCGAAGTCGCCTTCCTGCTTGAGGTTGTCTTTGGGTTTGATAGCCTTAGGCCGTTCTCCTGGAGTGACAGTTTGGACAACACGTTGCGTGAAGTCACCCTCCATGCGCAGGTTGTCCTCGTGTCGTACTTGTGTGACGCGTTCGGCCTGCGTGTAGCGGTAGTCGTCCCTGGACCTAGACTCAGTGAATTCCCCATCCATGCGGAGGTTGTCCTGGCGGATGGTGACCTCCACCCTCTCGCCGCGCTGTCCCGAGAAGTCGTCTCGACTCCGCGTGACTGTAAACTCACCCTCAGTGGTAAGATTATCTTCATGTCTGACGATGGCGGCGCGCTGGCCGGTCTTGACAGTTACAACTTCGCGCTGAGCGAAGTCACCCTCCATCTTGAGATTGTCTGCATGTTTGACGATCGGGGCTCTTTCTCCTGGCCTGACGGGCACAAGTTCACGCTGTGTGAAATCACCTTCCATTTTCAGATTGTCCGG